TCTAGCATAGTCACTACACTCATTTCATTCTATCTAACCACATCTACTACTCAAGTCATAATGTATTTCTCTTTAAATACAGTTTTTCTGATTTCAATATATTTATAGTGAAGTAATTCTACTTAACTATCCCAACTTGTCAATTTTGTACACTTAAAAAGACATAAAAATGCACCAATTGAAGGAAAGAAGGGAGAGATCAAACTTATTGATTATAGTCATGCAGATCCTCTTTATCTCAACTTATTTCAACAGTGTTCCAACAATGGAGTGCTGGTGCTGGCTCCTACTAGACCTGAAGAGCTAGTTGTGAAATTTTCAGGAACCTTGTGATCTGGCTGTTTAGTTTGAAATTGGCCACAGTGGGAGTACTAATACTACAGAAATTAGAAAACACTGCAGAATTGGCAAACACTGCAAATCAGGGATTTTCCCCCCAGCTCCCCAAAAGCCTATTGTTAAACATTTACCAGCACACCACTGTTTATACCCTTTAAAACTGTGGTATTTGAAGCGATAACCTAGATACAGAAAATACTGTAATGAGATTGAACACCCCCCACACACATACACCATCCAGTTCATTGCTGGATAGCTTTGATGTTTGTTACTCTTAGTCATTCTTCTAGTGATTTTTTTTTTCTTTTTTCCTCTCCATTAGATTGCCCAGATTAAGAAGTACTGCAGTAAGGCGGCAAGATTTTAGTAATTATTAAATATGGTTGACAGATATATAGGGGTCATTATGCTATTTTCTCTAATTTTGTGTGTGCTTGAAATTTTTTTATAGTAATAAAAAAAAGAAGTCTGTAACAGCCACAGCTTGCCCAGACCCGTCTTTACTTGGTCTTCCCTTTCCAGTCTCGATCCCATCAGCTGTTCCCAAGATCTGAAATGATCTGATCATTGCTGTCTCCTTACCTGTTCTCTATGAGTTAAACTAATTCCCTATTTTGATTTAAATGTTGCAACACCAACTTATTCTTTTGAAAAACCCACATGCATTTGTGGATTTAATTCATTTTTCAAAGAATTTATAGTAAATCTTCAGAGAGTGTCTACCATATCAGATTAGCATACTTTCTTTATAATAAAACCACAAAAAATACTGAAAAAAAAGTCATAAAAAGCTTCAGTATGAACCAAAAATCCCAAAGTACAGTGAGTGCATAGATTACAAGAAATTAGAAAGAGTAAAAAATAAACAATTAAAAAGAACTTTCCAAAAAAAAAAGAGGCCAGAAACAATATTAGCAATGCTAAATACTGGAGGAATAGAGGGATAAGGGACCAGAAGAATTACAAACTAAATCAAGGACTCTTCAAGTTCTACGCTGAAGAAAAGAAGGGCTTACTGTCAGTCAAGAACAAGTTTGTTTTTTTTAAATGTGATTTTATCATTGAAGACACAAAGTAGAGGAAGCTGAGAAACATAAAATTGACCCAATCATAGCACATCAGTGAAGGAAAAAATAATTTAGATATCAATTTTTTTAAAGGCAATATTAACAAATAAATTATAATTTAAGAGAAAACTAATGGTATCAAAAAGAATCATATAAATCCATTTTATGGAATAGAAAACTTGCGTCTCAGGAAGATGAAATAATTTGGTCGAGGTCACTTAACTAGTTTAAGTGTTGTAGCCTGGATCTGAACTCCCTACATAACTCTACAGTATTTTGTTTAGTTTTCCCACTCTTTTTCTGATAGACAGAAATGAAAATCCAAAGTAATTTTAGAAATTATGTATAAGTATAGCTCAAAAGTAATTCTGGCTTAAACATGATACAAATTTAACAATTGATGCCCCACTGAGTCTCATTTTTCCACTACCTCATCAAGCCCACATGGTACTCTGTGCTCTACATAAATTACTAGTATATGGGAAAAGCCCACTTCTTAAAGTCATTTTGAAAATCATTTTGTCTGACTACTTGAAGTAAAAATTAAATTTGTTTCACTCTCTCTTCCCTTAAAGATGTATTTTAAAATGTATATGTAAAATAGAAAATAAGGCTGTATAGGCTTTATATAGCCCTCCTTTTTAAAATGAAAAAAATATTTTAGTTATTGTTGATGACTGAAATGATCAAGGTTTGATTTCTCTACTAAAGGAATGTAAGTTTGATTCGGGTGTTTAAAGAATGCCTTAAGACTTCCTCAAATTCATTGGCTCTTTGTGGCAGGTGATTTTTGTGACATTCCCTTTTTAAGATAATTAATTTGCTTTCTTTTGACCTAGACAGCATATTTAATGGTATTTAATACTTACCTACTTGTTAATATATGAAACCCTTTATCTAAAGGCTTTTTTTAAAAAAACATATGAGTAATTCTCTGTCTTGCACCAACTATGAGCAAGTAGGTGTTCTATAATTATTTGAATCATGACTCCTTAAAAAATTATATTTAATAAATTATAATTAGGTCATCTACATGACATAGTTTTTCTTCTGTGACTGTACTAGTTTCTAATGAGGAGAGAGTCCTATATCAATTATCTTAACAAAGATAATTTAATATAAATAATTCTTAATTCGGTATTGGAGAATGGAAAAGGCAGAAAGAAAATCACTAAGGCAGTGATTTTTTTTTAAGTTTACCAATTTATTATAAGGAATATTACAAAGGATACAGATGAAGAGATGGATAGGGCAAGTATGGGGTAAGGGGCATGGAGCTTCCATGCTCTCTCTGGGCTTGCCAACCTCCCAGCACCTCCAACTGTTCAGCCACCTGGAAGCTTATCATATCTTGTTGTTGAAGAGTTTTTATGGTGCTTAGTCTCCAGTCCCTATCCCCTTTCCTGAGGGGCTGAAAGCTTCAACCTTCCAATCTGTTAATCACTTGGTCTTTCTGGTGGTTGGCCCCATCCTGACGCTATCTAGGAGCCCTGCTTTAAGTCACCTCATTAGCATAAACTCAGTTGTTATTAAAGGGGTTCATTATGAATAACCAAAAGCACTCCTATCACTCGGGGAATTCTAAGGGATTTTTTTCGGTGATAGACCACATCTTCTGTAACAGTTTCCTTGCCATTCTTTAGCCTCCTATTACAATGTCCTCAGCTCCTGCCTATCCAGAGGCAATGCCACATATTTGGTTTTTTAGCATGGTTTCACCTCACTTCCAGATATCAATTTCTATTTTGGGTAGCTTGAGTAACAAATCACCCCAAATTCACTGGCTTAAAATAACAATCATTTATTGTTGTTCATATTTTAGGATGTCAGCTGAGTGTAACGGATCTAGTCTGGGCTCCACTGAGCTTTTTTGCTTCAAGTTGTAGTGGCTGGATAGCTCAGCTTCTCATGACATGGCTATGTGTTGGGTGGGGCAATTCTGTTCCACTTGTCTCCTGTCCTAGGACTAGAGGGCTGTTCAGAGCAGGTTCTTCTTATGGTGCTAAAGTGAGGGTGAGTGGAAACATCAAGGCCTCTTAAGAGGTCTTCCAACTAAGGCAGTGATTTTCAAAGGATGGTCACCAGACTAGCATCATAAGCACCACCTGGAAATTTGTTAGGGATGCAAATTCTCAGACTCCAAGCCTCACCCCTTATTTACTGAGTCAGAAACCCTGGTAGTGGGACCAGCAATCTGTGCTTTCACCAGCCCTGCAAAGGATTCTAACATATGCTAAAGTTTAAAGATCAGTGCACTAAAATATCACAGAGATAGCAATTGCCAGAAGCAGCCACCACTCCTAGGACTGGGGCAGAAAAGCAAAGAGATGGAATTACTAAAACTAAGAAGATTGAGAAAAGGCTGCAATGGAGATGAAACTCAGAGTTTCAAAAATGAGTCACTACTTACCTGGTGCCGGAGTCTCTGAGTTCCAAGGAGGAACCCCATAGACCTGAGAACCAAATATCTGAGAAAGGCACACCCATGAATTAGAGTTAATGTCACAAGAAGGCACATTGAGATTGGTTCTATGGGTGTCAGAAAACCCCCAAATTGCAATCAGCTGCTGCTACTGGAAGGAACTACTGCCAGAGTGAATTGTTGCTAGAATGAGACTAATAAGATCAAGAAACCCATCCAAAGCAAACAGCAAATCTCTTCTTCCTTCTCCACCTGTGCAGTGTCTTTCTGGTCCCTCTATTGGCAGAGCCTAATAGGGAGCCAGAAATGTTTGCAGAATTCCAAAGGGTGGGTTTGAAGCTGAGGAACAGCAGCTTAATAACTGGCATGATGGTCTTAACTGTAATAAGACTAGGAGATAATAGAAATAACATATTTTTTAGTGTGTGTAATTGGGTACACATGGACATTTTCTGCATCCTAGATTGACGTGGCCTTATTGTTAAAAATTATTCCTATTTTAAAACTATTTGTTTCTCCTAATAAGATTAATGAGGCATTTAGGACATTTGTAGAATTTGGACAGGAAACTATGCAAGGGCCTACACTGAAGTCTGCTTAGCAAGGGCTAAGATAAAAAAGCATAGCAATAATGGCTGAGAATTGCTCCACAGTAACAGCTTCAGTCAGCTGAGGTTCAATTTTGGGTGTCAAAGGAATGGTCTAAAAACAAGCTTACCAGGACAGCAACCAGGGGTCCTGCCTCATAAAAAAGGATGGTGGCAGAAAAGGTTGTTCTGAAATCATGATCACTGACAAGAGACTGTATAAACATGATCCGTCATTTAAGCAGCCATGTTTGTGCAATTCCAGGAATCTAAAAAATGAATGGAAATGAATCAGCTCTTTCTTTATCCTGTAAACCAGTGTTCTGGTAGTGAGGGGTCAACATTGAGTCCAAGAATTTCACTAATTCTTGAAAGGTGGGTACAGATACAGTTGTTCCATATGTCAATCAAAAGGAACATTCCCATTGTAGTAAGTTAACAAGTATTTATTAAATGATTATCAGAGATATACCCAGTACTTTGGGAGACAAAGAACTATAAGATAGTGGTTATTCTTAAAGACCTTTACATATTTCTCAATTTATGTTCATGTTTTGTTTTGTCTTTTTTTTTTTTTTTTTTAAGGATAATGAAGAATCACAAAACCACACTGGTGAGCCTATTGGAGATGACTACAAAAAGATGGGAACACTTTTTGGTGAACTGAACAAAAGCCTCATCAACATGGGCTTCACAAGGATGTATTTTGGAGAGCGAATTGTGGAACCAGTAGTAGTCATTTTCTTTTGGGTTATGCTGTGGTTCCTTGGTCTACAAGCCCTTGGACTAGTTGCTGTTCTTTGCCTTGTCATTATTTATGTGCAACAGTAAAAACATGGCTGAATGTCATTGTTTGATATTTGGTAGCCATATATGTAATTGATGAAGTTATATATTTTACTTTTTTGAAAGCAGCAAAAGTTTGCCTTGTTCAAATTGTGTGCTGGCTGTTTTGTAATTAAATTTATAAGTGGATGTTGTTTAAGTTCAACTCGATTATAACAGGGTTGGACATATGTTTTGAGTATAGATTAGCTTATTCAGAACTCTTGTTTCATTTCTGTGATCTGTGCACCCTTTAGATACCTCTATCCCCGTGCCAAATCTTAACTACCACCACCAAAAAGTCAGCAGGGAAAATAATGGGATATGAAATTCAAATCAAGCAATATAGTTCTTGTAATGAGTTCCAATAAAACATTTTAGAAGAAAAAGGATGAAACAAGCTAAAAAATAGGTTAATTGGAAAGATACTCCCCACCTACCCCCATCAAATAATCCCACGTTATTTGGGAAGTATTTAAATGTCTATTTCTATTGTTCCTGTTCATCCCAAACCAAGGTAAATGATAATTACCATACACTACCTTAATATTGTGATAAAAATCGGTAAAGCTAGCATGTTTTCTAAAGATTGAAACAAATATATTTATTATTTACTGGGAAAGTTCCCAGGTTAAATATAACTTTTTTATAATGTAACACTTGGGCCTGGAATTTCTTCAGTACATCATTTGAAGTTTTAGACTAGGTTTTGGTGCTAATTACTTTTGTGAGTTTTTAAAATTTCATAAGCCTACTTGACTGCACCCTATGGTAATGCTATATTTTCTGGTATCTGACAAGTTGCATATTTTTTCCTAGAAAGACATTTTCAGTGTATTTTTTTCAGAAATTTATAATTTTATAGTTCTTTTATAAAAATTATTCTAAGACTTAAAACAATGTATTTCCTATCTTGGTATGGATTCTTCCCCCCAAAAAAATTTGATTTACATTTTACTGTTATTTTAAGAAAAAAAATCAGATAATTTTTCTTTGATATCTGTGTTAGAAAGTACAGTACTGCAGTATAAAACCAAATGCTTAAACTTAGAACTTAACATCCAATTGTAGTAATATTCTTCTAAAGCAAAAGCTGAGTTAGTAATTGGCTAACCATGTTATTAATGTGTCCTAATTCAGCACTTTGGAGTCTTCTATTGAAATAAGCATTTCTTTCAAACACAGTTTGAAAATGAAAAATGGCTTCAGTGATATTTTGGGTTTTGTTATAGAACCTAAAATCTTTACCCTTTTGTCTCAAAGACTATCTATATAAACAAAGAAGAGATAGTTAAGATAATTATCTAAGAATTCAAGTGAAATACTTGAGGAAAATGGGGCCAAGGGGCACTTTTATCTCCAGTAAGGCAATGACTAAAGCATGTAGAGTGTTTACTATTCCAATTTGTAAAGTTGTTACTCAATCCTGTTTATTCTGTGATTTCTTGGTGTCTTTCCATTTTGAAGTAGAAAATAATGAAAAACATTTAACTTAGATTTCTAAAACCAGATAATCCTAAATAAAAATACCAGCCAGTAGGCACTAAAAAGTGTTGTGCATTTGTATATATACAGGCCTTTTAAAATGTGAATTTTAAAAAACAAAATACTTTGTACTATATCATTGTGTTTATATTGGGTTTGCAATATTTTTATAGTAACCTTTATGAACTCAGTGGAAGTGCAGGTTGTTTGAAAAGATGTTTTCATTTGTACCCAGTAGAATTCCTAGGTTTTCAGTAAAAGTCATGAGATTGTGTACATTTGCATAAAATATTAATAAGTGCATTCTTTTCTAATGCTACCAGGAATTTTAATTTCCCTTTGGAATGCAAAATAGATACAGTGTACAAAATAACAGCTCTGGTTTCACCAGCGCCTACTGTTGAAAATATTTTAAAAATAAATTTTAATAGTAATTATTTAGTATACTGTCAATACTATGCTTCTGCACACTGGTATTAATAGGGTATGTATTAAATTACATAAAGAAATGAGGAGATATTTTGCTGCTATTCTTTCTACATATATTATTGGTTAGTGCAGAATACCATCAAATCTTTTGCTTTGATATCAGAAAAACAAACTGCTTATTTGACAGAGATAAAAATTTTTTTATGAAATATGTTAGAATGCAGATTATATGATATCCTGAAATGAAACTGATCATTTCTTTGGTTCATAATATGAGCAATTAGGTTGAAAATGATTCTCAATCATTTCAATCTCAGATATAAGCCAATTTTAGAAACTATTATTGCTTATGAATAAAGAAATAGAAGTTACAATGCTAAGGTTATTAGATTATTAATGTATACATCACTCATACTGCCAGCCCTCAATTCAAGAGAAAAAGGTCAAGATCTACTAATAAACTGACTGTAAATTAGTAAACCAATTTTCGTTAAAGTGAAAACTCAGTATTTTGTAGAATTTAGTTCTTTCATATCTTAAGCTGTCATGTACAATTTATTTTCCTGTTCCTGGCTACCTGTCAGATCATTCTTAATCCAGTAGTGTGCCAGAGCCAACTTGCACTGGCTTATAAAGTCAACTGTATACATTTTTTCTGCCTTCAGTGACATCAAGTTGGTAGCTTGAAATTGTTAGTAGTGGGAGTATTTATACTACTAAAATTGGCAAACACTACAAATTGGGGCTTTTTATTTTTCCCGGAGAGCCAGTTTTTAAACATACATCAGCACACCACTGATTAGCATCGTGGAGGCCACATTCCCATTTCCACTCCTACATATATAAAAGGAAAGAAAAATAACACGTTTTGTGAAATAAAAGAAAGCACATGAGGTAAATCTCCATCAACTCATCCAAAACTGTATTTGGGTCTTTTCCATGCGGAAATTGAGGACCATTGTTGCCTTCTGAACAACATTTCTCTATTTAATCACATGTTTGATCAGAGAAAATCTCTCTGGGCTGTCACTGAGCTGCAAATCTATTAAAGACTATCCAGGTGATTAGGAAAGGAGAAACTGAACTGATAGAGGCAAATTATAGCATAAATAAAGGTCTCTTGTAATACAGAAAGCTCAAAATAGTCAAAGCTAGGTATTGAGCAATTAAGGGCCATTTGGTTTGTGGATTGTATTTTAACAGTTATTTTACAAATGTGTATTGATTTCAGGTTATTTAAAATGCTTTCATTACCAATTTATGGCTTTACAAGGTAAAGGAAGAAGAAAAAAATCAAATAAGACTTTCATGCCCATTAATACCTCTAGTAATAGATTTGGCCAAGAATATAAACTAATATACAAATTATTACTTCAGGATTATTTGTGGACTTGCAGTCTTTTGTAACTCCTATTTCTCTGCCCAGCACTTAATTTTTGGTGTTCCTTGGGGTTTAGTCCAACAGCCTGCTTGCTTATTACTCCACACATTGCCTCAGCAATATTACCACTCCCATGGCTTCAGTTACCATTTGCATACCAACAGCTCCCCGGTCTGCACCTCTAGTCCAGAGCAGTGTACAGAATATAAAATTCTTACATTCAATTGCTTTCCCATTATTTCCACTTGGCTACCCATAGTACCTCAAATTCAGCATGTCCAAAAAAGGAGCTCAGCCTCCTTCTCCCAAATCTTTTCTTCCTATGTTTCCCATCTCAGAAAATGACACAATCCTCTCCCCAGCTGCTTAAGCAGGAATCGTAGATGATGTGCTTGACTCCTGTCTCCCCTGCACTGCCCACATATAACCAATTACCAGGTCCTGTGTATTTTATTCCAAAAATGTCTTTAATTTTTCTACTTCTCTTCATTACCAGCATCACTAACTTAGGTTGTACCCTATCATCTCACCTGGAATGCTATATCAGAATCCTAATGGGTCTCCCTGCCTTCATTTTCCACTTTATAGTTTCAGTAATCTTTCTAAAACATGACTGATCTCCTTGAGCTAAATCTTTCTGGTGGTATCTTGTTCCTGTTGCCATTACGATAAAGTCCTTGCACTTTCATGTGTTTTACAAGGCCCTTCATGAACTTGTTCTTGCGTACCTCATCTCTACTTATTACCATCCTCCCTTTCAAAGACTCAGCTATACTGAACTTTTTTTTCAGTTCCTTGAAAGAGACATGCTTTCCCACTTCCAGAATTTTATGCAAGCTTTACCATCTTCTTTAACCCCTGCCCACGAGACTGGTCAACACTTACACAGCCTTAAGGCCTCAACTTAAACATCAAGTCCTCCAGGAAAACTTCTCTGACTACTTTAAATCCAGTTTTGGCATGCCATTATGTGCTTGGTTCCTCATTATACACAACCCTGTACTTCCCCTATCAGCACTTCCCATGCTATATTGTTGTCTTAGTTTATTTTGTGTTGCCATAAAAGAATACCTAATACTGGGTAATTTATAATGAACAAAGATTTATTTTTTACAGTTCTGGAGGTTGGAAAGTCCAAGGTCAAGGGGCCCATATCTGGTGAGGGCCTTCTTGCTGCATTATTCCAAGGTGGAAAAGCAGAAGGGCAAGCAAGAGTGTGAGACAGAGAAATGGAGGCCGAACTTCATCTTTTTATCAGGAGCCCAATCTCATGATAACTAACCTACTCCCTCAATAATGGCACTAATCCATTTATGAGGGCAGACTCATTTATTCATGACCTCCTAAAGGATCCCCCCAATACCATTGCATTGGAAATTACGTAACATGAATTTGCGAGGGGACATACAAACCGCAGCAATTATAGTAGCTCATTTGTCAGCTTCTTCCGTTAAAAGCAGGTTTCACAAGGGCAAAGACTGTCATGTCCATAATTGCATTACCAGTGCCTAACACAATATCTGGCATATAATAGGTGCTTAAAATATTTGTCAAATGAATGAATCAACTTCATTTATTCATGATCTCTCTATTTTACACTAACAAAGAAGATCTAGACTTGGTTGTACTTTAGAGTTCTTTGATTCTAAAAATATACTTATTGTACACAAAGAGTGGACTGATGTATACTTATAATTCATAAAGCTTATTCACTTATTATGGAAGAATATTGCTGTTATTTGCATACATATGCAATATTGCTACAATACACTTGCATTTCTTAGGAGAAAATGTATTTTCATTGTTGTGCTTGGTTAATTCACTATTTCTCCAGAAATATTTTACAATACATATGGTCACTCATGCTACCAAAATATCATATTTTTTCAGTATTTTTCAATAGACTTTTATCTACTAAATTTTAATATTTTAAAAAAACTCTGAAGCTGTGAGCAGGAATTCTCAAGTTTCTAAGCTTGGTGTTTTAGGCTCCAGAATAAATTCGCTACTAGAATGTCCTAGTAGCCCAGACCATATTTGGTAAATAACATGTATATAAAGTACTTTGTTATTCTTTCTAATAAATAGTAATACTCTTTTATAACCCTGCATTCTGAGTGTCTCTTCTGACTCCCTATAGTATGTTCTACTTATCAGTTAATTGCTGCCACATCAACTTTGGATATTGCCAAAGCAACAACACACCTGAGGATAAATAGAGCTTTTCTATTTTCCTTATTCCTATTGCTGGAGCAGAATTCCCAGACCTGACATGTCTTTGGCTTTCTAGGCAACAGAGAAGTAGGAAAACCAAGATCAAGATCAACCTCTGCCTCTTGGGGAGGGATAGGTTGGGTAAAGGGCATAAAGAAAATATCATGATTTATAATAATAATATGCTTATAATAAATAGTATTTTTTAAAAAGGATCAACCTTTGCCTCTAAGCTGTATTTCTTCTTTCTGTTGTCTTGACTGTATTATGTAAGGTAGAACTGTTGAATAGGATCTGCAGAAGCCTGCTAAAGACCTAGAACAGTCATTCATATGCTTATTAAATGAGTTATCTTTCAGCAATTAAAGTTTTATCATTTAACCTTTTATCAACTTAATTAATTGGGAATTTCCTTGCCAGTTTTCCAAAGCACCACAGAATTCAGTGACTTGTATCAGGACCCTGGACCCTTTTGTTATTGATTTTCCACTGCATTTCAAAGGGTAGTTGATGGTGTATTTTTAATGTGGGATATTTTCAAAATGGAAGACTGAAAATCCTATATACAATATACTTACTAATAGCATAGTTTATTTAAGACAAACTCTTAAAAAGAATGATTTTTCTGAGAGTAGGGGGATATGTAAAAACTCTATCCATATTTGAGAATATGTGCCATCTACAGAATCCCCCTTTTTTTTTTCTTTTTTTTTTGGTCTGTCATGGTTGCTTCTGTTAATATGTTTTCATGGCTTTGGGTATGTAATATTAAAAGTAGTCCATTATTTTATTATTTTATATGTTTTAAAAGGCACAAGAGTTTATGTGTAAATGCAATATATAAATAAAAGTTAAGAAGAAACAATTACAAAGGGAAAACACACTTCCTGCATGTTGGTTTGGAATGATGAACTTAAATAAATTGGTCTTGCACAAAATCATAATGATTTTTCATATAAGGTGAACCATTTGTTTAACTGTTAGACCAGTGCTTTCAAAGGTTTTTAGTTTTGTTTGTTTTAAGTAAAATCATA